GACCTAAGTGGGTGCCACCAGGTATGGTATATTTATTGATCAAGGGCAGGGGCTTGGAAAATTACTACCGGTGAATTTTGTTCCTAGTTATAAATGTTATTTGTGAGCATTTCCCCATATTATTACATATTCCTCAGAACCAGGATTTTTATTTGTTGCATTTATTCATCATTTATTTAGCTATTCTGTAATATTGGGCATCCAGGTTGTTCATGATTTTTTTCAGTGTTACAAATAAGGTTGCAATAGGCATTACCATCCTTTTTTTTTTTAAGAAATCTGTGACCAGATCTCTGATTATTTCCTTAGAATAAATTCCTAGTAATAGAATTACTGTGTCAAAGGCTATAAACATTTAAGATTCCTTATACATAAGGTAACTAGTCTGTTTGGTCAGGCGCTGTTAACCTCCACAGTCTGACTAAAGCCTCAGGGTCTGTACCTGGGAATTCCAGCATTCAGCACATGCCCTAGCAAACTTAGCCTCTGGCTCACACTGTTTTCGTTTGCTCTACAGCCAAGTCTCACTAATCTTCAAGAATTCTTTGACTTTCACCCTTCTTGGCATTCAGAAAACCCTAATCCAGATTCTTTTCATTTCATACCTAAACTATTTCTCTAGCTTCCTCACTAGTCATCCTGTCTCCACTTTTCCTCATCCAACCGCACGAACCCTCTACTTCAGTGAGATTAATACTTTTTTTTTTTGTCCCCTAAACACAATGTAGGTATTCTTCTGCCAGGGCCTCTCTTTATCCAGTTTCCTGTGCCCAGTGTGTCGTTCTTCATTTATTCTCTCTTTTTCTAAGCCTTTCCAAATCTGCCCAGGTTTTACCTCTTTTGAGTGACCTTTATTGGTTGGTCCATAGTGGTTACTCCCCTAATGGTAACTAGGTATTAATAGGCAGAGTTAGGCTTGAGCTATGGAACTCTAGGATTACTTAGTTCCAGTAGTGTCTGGGTTGTGGGGTAGCAAGTATAATCATTTATTGTAGATTTATAATCCTTTTAGAGAACAGCTGGACAGGAGACAGAAAAGTAAACCCTTCCTTTGACCTAGTGTCTTAGTTATCTAGTGCTGCTATAACAGAAATACCACAAGTAGATGGCTTAAACAAACAGAAATTTATTCTCTCACAGTTTAGAAGGCTGGAAGTCCGAATTCAGGGCACTGGCTCTAGGGAAAGGCTTTCTCTCTCTGTCTGCTCTTAGGGAAGGTCCTTGTCTCTTCAGCATTTGTAGGCCTGGTGTTCCTTGGCTCCTTGGTGATCTTCACGTGGCTTAGCATCAGTCTTCTCCTGTCTGCTTGCTAGTTTGCATTTAAGCTCTTTTATATGTCAAAAGAGATTGACTCAAGACACACCCTACACTAATCCTGCCTCATTAACATAACAAAGACAACCCATTCCCAAATGGGATTATAACCACAGGCATAGAGGTTAGGATTTACAACGTGTATTTTTAGGGGACACAATTCAATCCATAACACCTGGGAGCTACTCTTGGGAATTTATTGTTACAAGAGAAGAAAAAGTAATAAGTAGTCAAATTTCTATAGCCATGTTATTTAAAATGTTTAAAAACTACAAAGAAAATGCTTGTAGGAAGTTGATCAAGATGTGGCACAATCATGTAATTTAGAGTGATAAATCAGATGATTAGAAACATGGAAAGGTTTGTAAATCTTTAATGAAAAAAGAACACACAATTGTACTTATTATGACACACTCATGAACATTTATATGAATAAATTTTGAAAATTAATACTAGATGGAGATAATTGATGTGTTAGGGTGGCAGTATAAATAAAACTAATATAAATAAATAAAATCAGGTCTTCGCAATGTTTGAAGCTATTTAATAATTGAAAAAAAAAACCTCTTTTAAGAAGTACTTGTAAAGATTCCAAATTTTTAAAAATGCTTTAAATTTGTCCACCACCTTAGAAATTATAATTGCATGCATTTCTTTATTTCTTTACAACAAATATTATTTGCTCCCAACCTTCCTCTTTCCGCTTTCACTATTGAAGTCTAGGTGCCATCTTGGATTCTGGAGATGTTTGGAAATGGGCAATAGTATAGTCTTTCTGCCCTTTAGTACTTTCCATTCTTTGGATCTAGCTTATAGCTTGATAGACTCTGTATAACATAATAGTGCTTAACTACTTCCTTTGCTTCTTCTGTTTTATAAATTAATTCTAAGAGATTTCTGACATCATCATCATGTGATATGTTCTGTTTCAGGAGTATCCGGAAGTAGCAGCAGCAACAGTAGAAGCCCACAGCCAGGAGTGTCTGTTAAGTCTCCAAATCAGAGTCTCCGCCTTGGTTTGTCCAGATTAGCACGAGTTAAACCTTTGCATCCCGCTGCCACTAGTAGCTGAGTGTGGGTGGTAGCAAAGAAACTTTTGGTCGAGAGATTCACAGTTTTGTGTTTATATATTTAAGTTGTGTTATTATTTGAGGAGAGGATTGTAACATAAAAGAATCATTTAACATGTCATATAAATGATCTCTACCTATTTTGTGATTATATTCTCTGAAAAGCTGTTCAGACTTCAATAATAAATTTATAAGAATTATCTTCTAATTTCATTTCTTTCTGAAGAGCATATTCTATTATTTCCTTATGTATAAGTCATTGTCGTTAAGTGATTGTCACTTTGACATAGAGGAAGGCCAGCTCACATGCTGTTCTCTTCTGCTAACATAATGTTCCTTTTCTCGCTTTGTCTAGTTTATGGCAGGTTAACTGTTCAGTTTAACTGGCAAAGGGAGAAGGTCCCATTTCCTCCAAGGGGCATTTCTAAAATCTTATAAGACTACTTAAGCTACATTGTCAGTTTTATTATAAAGATATTTCATATTTTAGCCAATTATATTTATAGTAAGAATTCAAAATTTTTTGCACACTAAAATGGTTGTACTATGGCATATGCCCCCTACTTAGAAATAGATGCTTATTGTATAGCAAATAGAATTCCATGACATTGTGTGAAACTTTCATTGTCAAAAGCTTTAGTAAAAGTGAAAAAGTTTGAGATGCTCTTTTCCTTAATACCATTGCATCCATCTGTCTCTAATAGTCTAAAATTCATGAGAAAATGGGAGCTTTTCAAAGACTTTTAGCCTTTTTGTTGTAAATGTAAACTGGAGGAAGCTGTTTCTAAAACAATCACTTTTTGTTAGGCAAGTGCTTTAGAGAGTGGCTGTCAAGTACTTACTTAGTCATCCCTGTTATATTAGGTAATGTAGCTTTTTAGGAAGCTTAGATCTGAATTTATTGTGAATAAAAATAGTCATGGATATATTATGTTGAGAATTTCAACTAGCTCCTGATCATTTTCTAATAAAAAAATTTTCAAATCATGTTAACCATTAAAAATGAGTAAAATCTTAATTCTTGGTTTATGGAAACATCTATGTTAATGTGAAAATTAGTAATTTAGAAATATGATTAAAGTGAGCATTTGCCTTATTGTACATTTTTTTCTTACCTAATGTATATTTTAAAGAGCCCTAGTGGCGCTGTGGTTAAGCACTTGGCTGCTAACTGAAAGGTCTGCGGTTCAAACCCACCAGCTGCTCCACGGGAGAAAGATGTGGCAGTCTGCTTCCGTAAAGACTTACAGCCTTGGAAATTCTATGGGGCGGTTCTACTGTGTCCTGTAGGGTCGCTGTGAGTTGGAATCAATTCAATAGCAACGGGTAATGTATATTTTATACTTTCATATGGCACCTCACTTACCCTACCCTTTTTTTTTTTTTAATTGTGCTTTAAGTGAAAGTTTACAATTCAAGTTAGTTTCTCATACAAAAATTTATACACACATTGTTATGTGACCCTAGTTGCTATCCCTATAATGTGACAGCACACTTCTTTCCACCCCGAATTTCCTGTGTCCATTTAACCAACTCCTGTCTCTTTGTGCCTTCTCATCTCACCTCCGGACAGGAGCTGCCAGTTTAGTCTCGTGTATCCACTTGAACTAAGAAGCACACTGTTCATGAGTATCATTTTATGTCTTATAGTCCTGTCTAATCCTTGCCTGAAGAGTTCGCTTTGGAAATGGTTTTAGTTCTGGATTCATAAGAGTCCAGGGGCAATGTCTTCTGGGGTTCCTCCAGTCTCAGACCATTAAGTCTGGTCTTTTTACTAGAATTTGAGTTCTACACCCCGCTTTTCTCCTCCTCCATCAGGGACTCTCTGTTGTGTTCCCTGTCAGGGCGGTCATTGTGGTAGCCAGGCACCATCTAGTTTTTCTGGTCTCAGGCTGATGGAGTCTTTGGTTTATGTGGCCCTTTTTGTTTCTTGGGCTAATATTTCCCTTGTGCCTTTGGTGTTCTTCATTCTCCTTTGCTCCAGGTGTACCCTACCCTCTTTTTAAAAACATATTTACCAGTTATGTAGTATCAGGGTGTTGTTACAGTTCAACAATAAATATTTATTAAGAGCCTACTCTGTACTAGGTACTGTTACCATTGATTAATCAACTAACACCAACTTGATAAACCTGTTTTCTCTGTTATTCATATTAATAATTTCTTTCTATTTGAAAATTAGCTAAAAGTATGTTAAAATGCCTTAAAAGCTGAAATCACTAATGACCTTTATGTGGCCAAATCCATTTTACATTTTACTTATAGAACCTATTTATCATACCCTGCTTAAAATTTCCTTGGCTCATGTGACACCATTATAGTGTAATTTTCTCCCCATGTCCCTGCCTACTTTTTATTATTTTACAGCTTTCTAATCTTTTGTGTTCCTATACCGACTCCTATCATAATACCATCTTTCTTGGTGTTCCATTTTTGTCCCCCTGCATCCCCTTACCCCCTTTTTTTAAAGCTTGGATGACTTCAAGCTTCAGTGGTCACCTATACGCCAAGTCAGGATCTTTAGCCCAGACCTTGCTCTTAACACAGACTTGTTGCCTGGTCCATTGACAATTTGATGTCACTAAATTCAACAACATCCTCCCTACCCCCAACCTTTTCCTTCCTGTATTTTCTGTTAGTAAATAGCACCACTATCAACCCAGGTGCCTAAGGCCTGGGATTTAGTCTCTTCATTCTCTTTCACCTCTCACTTTCAATTACCAAGCTCTAAATTTTTCAAAACTGCTCTTTCCTTCCACTTTCTTTCTTTGACTGTAAAATATCATCACTTACTCTAACAGGCATCCTTGCCTCGATTCTTAACCTACTCTAGTCTACCCTCCACACCATCATTGCCAGAGTTAAGTCTTCTAAAATAAAATCTGAGCATGAACTCCCCTCTGCTTAAAATCCACATACATACTCCTTAACCCCTTTAGTTCAGCAGCTACTTTTGAGATCTGGCTAGCCCCTGCCTGCTTCTTCCATCTTATTTCATGCTGCCATGTGCACCTTTGACCCCAGCTATAACAAACTGAATGCTGGCACCAAAGGGTACCCTGCTTTTCCATGGCCCTGGGCCTTGGTGCAAATGGTTAAATGCTGGGTACTAATTGAAAGGCTGATGGTTTAAGTCCACTCAGAGGCACTTTGGAAGACAGGCCTGGTGATCTACTTCTGAAAAATCAGCCATTGATCAACTATATGGAGCCATGATTCAGAATTGGGTCCATGGCAACTGGTATGGAATTTTTTTGTTTTTTTTTTAGAGGGAGGGGTGGTGGGGGAGTTTGGGCCTTCACACGGGTTCATACTTGCCTTCTTTACATGAGTGACTCCCACTTGTTCTTGAAGACTCAAATTAATTTCAATTTTTTAAAAAATCTTTATTTGAATGTCTGTTTTCCTCCTTCGACCAGACAGTGAACTTTAGGTCAAGCTACTGTGATTCATCTATAACTTTCGTTACTCATCATGCTTTCCTAATACCTGGTAGACAGTAGGTACTCAAAAGTGTTCACTTGATAAATTACATCCAGAACTTTTGCTAGGTACTTCTGATAACCTCGTACTTCTCTTGAAGAGGGGGTAGGGATAATTTTATGTTTCTTGTCTGCTCAGCCAACTCCAATCTTTGTCCTCAGGACTAAATTCACTTCTTGTCCTAACTTTTAAAGAACTGGGGCAAGAGAGTAGGGGTAGGAGGAAAGGCGATGCGTTCTTTAGGCTGATGTGAAAGGTGGTCTGGCACTGGACCAGAGCCTAAGCCCTTTCAGCTCCAGAGTCACAAAAAGGGCGGAAATAGTTTCTATAGCAACGGAGAGAGGGTGTGGTCCTCCATCTGCTATACTCCACAGGTTATCAGTCCTAGCTCCCTGCAGCGGCCCTGCAGGCTGCGCCAGCCCGATGCAGCTCCTCCCACCTCCTGCCTCCACCGGAGCAAAGTAAGGACCAGAGAGGCGGAAGGAGCTCGTGATAAGGCGCAAGTCTGAGGGGTCTACTGAGTTTAACCGAGCCTTTCATGGGAGAAGGGGCATCTGGCGCAATGAGAGGTGAAAGGGGGGAGGGAGAAGAGGTAAAGGGGGGAGGGAGGAGAGGTGAAAGGGGGAGGGAGAAATGAAAGAAAGGTGTAAGAATACAGAAAAGAAGAAGGGAGTTGTACAATGGAGGAAAAGGGGTGGCGAATGAGAAGTGTATGAATGCAGAAAAGTACAGGGTGGTGTGAGTCGGGGAGAGAAAGGGATGGAGTGTGGGTGCAGAGTGAAGGAAAGTACAATTTTAGATCTTGCTCTGAACAGCTGCATCCAATATCCATATACTTTTGTGTTAACGATAGAATGTTGTGTTGCTAGCTCCAGCTGACTGCAGGGAGAGGAGAGATGGATTTTAGGGAACTCATGAAACCTACCTGAAACCATGCTTCCAACCCTGACGCTGACAACTTGGGACGCGGGACTGGCTTCCTCCCTTTATTTTCACTGCATGTCCTCTTGATAGTCAAAGGTGGGACTACCCTCACACGCCTCACGTTGATGAGGAGCTTGCCTATACTAAGCATATTCTGACTCAGTCTATATGCCTGCGTGCCTCCGCCCTCAACCAGAGCCCAATCCCCTGACACAAGAGCACGTTAAGGTACATGAGGATCATACACCTAGAGCAACACTTTCAGGGTGGTACTTGCTCCCACTCTGAGATGATTTCCAACATTAGCAAACTTCTCCTTAAAATGGGGTTAAACTATCCAAATTTTGATAAGTTTTTAAAATCTGCAGTTAATTTGTGGTATTTGCTATGTTTAAAATGTCCATCAGCCCATTCAGGGTTTAAATAACTTGTGACCCGTCTGTTTTAAATGACTCACATAGTAACCAATCTTAACTCAGGAACTCACTGTTCAGGCTTAATGGAGACTTGGCAAAAGAATAAGGCACTTTAATAATGGAAGAGTTCAAAATGTGGAAACCACAAACGTAAATGTCCTTTGTAGTCAGTATTGAGGGATTTAATCACCTACATGTGGTAGGTATGTAAAGTCCAGGAGTTCAAAGTATTTCTTCAAACCAGCTAGAATATGTCTAACTGGATTTGTGAATTAGCCTGTTCTTTCCCATAGGTTTTAGTGCTTATCTAGCGGAGCAAGGTAAGCCTAGGGACTCTCTAACAGTATGCCACACTTCCCTAGCTTTGGCCCTCTCCAGCTCAATATTTTTGTCAGCAAATTTGCCAGAATGCATGTTTCTCAAAGTGTGGAGAGCCCAATACTGGGAGAGTTGGTTTTAGCTGATCCAAAAGGAACCTGAGTGTGTTGTGACAGCTTGGCTGCATTAACAGAAATATAGTGACCAGATCAAGGGGTGTAAAGTCTCACTGCCTGACTTTGCATTGGTCAAAATGTAATCTTGATTCTAAAAAAATGGAGCCATTTTAAGAGGGACCATTTTTAAAAAAAAAGCTAGAAAATAGAGAGGGACTACCAGGACCCTCTCTCCCCATTATGCCTGGATGCTGTATCACATAAGCAGGGGTTTAAAAAAAAACAAACAAAAAAACTGCAGAATGTGTAAAGATGAGTAGGTTCAGGGGAGGGAAACATGACACTGTTCTGAATATTTAAGTAGCAGGGAGAGTAGATTTGTTGTTCTGCAAAGGATAATAAGGATCAGTAGAGGAGGATATTTTGCTCGATATGATTTATTCTTTCAGTAAACATCTATTGAGCACCAAACATATGTGAAGGAACTGCTGGGTATGAAATGGGTTACCGGGAAAAACAGGGAACCCTGTTGTGGAAATATTCAAGCAGAGCAATTCTCAGGAATGTAGTCGTCCCTCGGTATCCGAGGGGAATTGGTTCCAGGAGTGCCCCCCCATACCAAAATCCTTTGTATAAAATGGCAGAGTATTTGCATATAACCTACACACATCCTCCTGTATATTTTAAGTCATCTCTAGATTACTTGTAATACCTAATACAATGTAAATGCTATATAAATATTTGCTATACAGGACTGTATTATTTAGGGAATAATGACAAGATGTGAGGCAAACAATGCTCAAACAATGATTGCTGGTGAGAGAATGAGGATCTGTGAGATGGCAGGAGGCTACAGCAGGGGATGCCTACACATCACGTTATTCGCGTGGATTCAATGTAGTGCTCAGCGCATGGCAAATTCAAGTTTTACTTTTTGGAACTTTGTTTTTCTTCCTTAATATTTTTGATCTGTGTTTGGTTGAATCTGTGGATGCAGAACCCACAGATATGGAGGGCCAACTCTGTTAAAGAGAGGATTCCTGCCCAGCGTGGAAAAATGGGCAAGATGGCCTCTAAGACTTCTCTAACTCTTAGGAGTTTGTGAGTCAGGGACCGTGAAGAGTTTCAAGAATAATATGTCAGTCCAAGGATCTCTCTTTGGCAGTTGTTAGGTGTGTCCAGTTGGTTTCTACTCATAGCAACCCCATGTGACAGAGTAGAACTACCCATAGGGTTTTCTAGGCTATAATCTTTATGGGGAGCCCTGGTGGCACAGTGGTTAAGAGCTTGGCTGCTGACCAAAAGGTCAGCAGTTCGAATCCACCAGCTGCTCCTTGGAAATTGTATGGGGCAGTTCTACTCTGCCCTATAGGGTTGCTATAAGTCGAAATCGACTTGACAGCAATAATTTTTTTTAAATCTTTATGGGAGCAGATCACCAGGTCTTTCTCCTGCTGAATGGCTGGGTGAGTTTTAACCTTCAACCTTTTGGTTAGCAGCTGAGCACTTTAACTGTTGTGCCATCAGGGCTCCTTCTCTTTGGCAGAAGTGAGTGCGATTAAAGTACATTATCTCCTGTTCACATAAATGCAAAGAGAGTGCATGCAAGCCCTACACTGTGACAATTTCTGCCGAAAGGCAGCCTCCCGGGACGTAGAGATCAAGCTACTGACAACAACAATACAAATACTGAAATCACAACAGGTAAATCTCAAAAGATGTTTCCTTTCTGGACATCAAGGTACTATGTACATAGATGATGCATAGGTATAAAATACTATGCAATGCAGTAATACTAGCACCACTCTTTATGGGTCTTGCCACCAGACTTTGAACTCCTTGGGAGTAAGAGTTCTTGTTTATCTTGGAATTGCCTGTGCTTAGCACAGTACCCGACACACAGCTGATGTTCTGAATATTTTTGATAAATTGATCTTAGATTTCTCTTCCTTCAGCAAATTTTTACCAAGAGCTATCAATAGACAAGACACTGTCCTGGCCTCTATGAGGAATATAGAAAAATGCAAGCTCACCATCCTTGCCCCCAAGAGACAGTTAAGATGAGACAAAAAAATGTATACCTAAGATAATCAAGTAACACTAAAGCTGTTGACCAAGTGACAAAAGGAGCTCCACAGACAAAAGTGCTGTTGAAATCCAGAAGAAAGGGATTGGTGTGGGCTGGAGAGGTAGGGAAACTCTGATCTGCGTGTAAGAAAATAATGAGGAATTTTAAATTTTTAGTTTCAGTTCTCAAAGCAACATTCACTTTACTTCTGGGTAAAGTTTATTAGTTCTCTTCAACCCTTCATGCAAAAAGGTACAAAATATAAAAAGTATTTTAATTCTTGTCCTGCATAGTTCACCACATTTTGAGGATAAAAAGTAGTGTTTGCAAAGCTTTGAGTACAGGCTAAGTGTTTTTATTGGAAGCCAGGTTGAATGCATAAAGAAAGAAAGGTACAAAATAGAGTCTTTGATAACCACAGAATTATCCAGGGAAGGGGAATTATGGAATAAGTCATAACAGAATATTTTTTTCATTGTGATAGTATTTTCATAGAATTCAAATCAAAGAAGCTTAGAATTGGAAGGGGCGTTAGAGGTCATCTAGTCTAGTCTCCTCATTTTACAAACTTGCTTTAACTCAATTCTATAAAATGACCCGACTTGTTTTTTCATCTTGCAGTGAGTTGAATATTTATAAGGCTGTGCTCTGAATGAAGGAGCCCTGGTGGTGCAGTGGTTAAGAGCTCCACTGCTAACTAACATGTCGGCATTTCAAATCTACCAGCTGATCTTTGGAAACCTTATGGGCAGTTCTACTGTGTCCTATAGGATAGCTATGAGTTGGAATCGACTCCACGGTAACAGATTTGGTTTGGTTTGGTTTGGGCTCTGAATGAAGAAGGTGCAAAATGGCAGAATGACATCCAGGGGAAACGTTCTACCAGTTGTCCCCCTTTTCTTTTTCTATAGGCATTAAAACTATCCAGGTAGCCACTCATGTATGTATGCTTTAGGGAAAAGGGTATTTGTGGGAAGAAAATGTGGTTTATTTTGCAGTTAGTTAGGGGAAATGGATCTTTTTGCTTGGTGTCCTAAACTGTGAACTACCTCATTATCTCACCTTCCTTTCCCTGCTCCTGTCTCTCCCTCTGCCCTGAGCACAACTGCCAGCAGGCCCGCTCACCTGACTTCATCTGACTGCCAGAGGGAAACAGAAGGAGAAGCAGACTCCGCCGCTGTGTCTAGGCCTGCCACCTTCTTTCCTCCAAGCCTGCCCTGCTTTCTTCCCATCCCTTGGTGTATGGACCATTATATTTTATTCTTCTTGCCAACTTATTTTTTATTGTTCCTCCTGCAGGACTAAAATGGATGCTAAACAGCCAAGGAAGCACAGTTTGACATTCTTTCCGATTCCGAAAGCAAGAAAGAAACAAAATTTCACCCCCTCTATGAAGGTAAGGATCCTTGAATTTCAGTTAGGGAAGAGAGGCCTCATCATGACTTGGGATCCAGGACCCAGTGATGATTATTGTGCCCCAAGCGCCTTTGTTGACTCTTGGAGGGACCGGTGTGAGAGGACCAGGCTGTTTGGCAGAGCCAAGTTTGGATGAGCTTGGAGATGAAAGCAGCTAGAGTGCCTGAGTGTAGTTCCTGAGCTTCAGAATTGCAAGGCCTTAATTTGACAGGTAACTTGTATTTGAGGAGCCCCTAGGTTAGTGTAGGAGCCACGGCACAAATGGTTAAGCACTTGGCTACTAACTGAAATGTTGAAGGTTTGAGTCTACACAGAAGTGCCTTGGAAGAAAGGCCTGACACTCTACTTCTGAAAAATCAGCCATTGAAAACCCTATGGAGTGCAGTTCTACCCTGACACACATGATGTCGTCATGAGTTGGAATGACTCCATGGCAACTGGAAAAACAAGAAACAAAAAAAAAATAACTAGGCTAATGTGTCTTCCATTGTATCTTTTATTCTGCTCTTTTTATCTGGAACCACACCTGAAGTTTCCTGGAATAGCTCTGAATAAATATTCAAGAACATTTCCAAAAAAGATCTGTTTTTTTTTTTTTTTTCTGACACAGACATGGGTATAATATTAAGTGTCCATCTTTCTACTCAGATTGTTTAAAAAACTAGGTAAGTGCTGCCACACTAAGGGTAATATTGTGATGGAGTGGTTTGATGATTACTGTTTGTAAGCTCAACTTCTGAATCGGGTGTATTTTTAATCTAACATCCCTCAGTTTGAATTTCACAGATTGTTCAAACAATTGTCTTGAGATCTTCTGAAAGTTTTGCAGCAACTTTAGCCAAAAGTGTTCAGGTCTGAATTTCTGAATCCTGCCTGCATCACGACTAGGAGAGCTGGAATTGAGCACTGACTCAAGGCCTGGTGAAAATTCTCCTTCCTGTAGACTACACACCACTCCTTAAAATTATGAGCGTACATCACCTCCTCCAAGCAGTGTTCCTGATTTAACCCTAGCATTCTCCCCCTCAAGGGTATAACTCACAAAAATGGACCCTAATGCAAAGTCCGTTGTTCCCCATCCCTACTCCTGTCATCACCACTTACAACAAAAAAATTTATTTTGCCATTCATAGATGCAAAACATTATTAATACCTAAAACGTATTTCTTTGGATAAAATAGAAAATGTCCATAAAACATTTGAAATAGTATATCTCAGAAAAACATGCTAATAGTAAAGATAACATCCTGTTAGTTCAAATTTTAAAATTGTGTGTAAACCAAATGGTCTTGATCATGATTTTCCTATAGCAAAATCATCAAGGGTTTTGCAACTTGCTTCTTTTTCCAGCTGCTTGAACTCACATTTATTGAATGCCTACATGACCCTCACATGAACCTTAGGGGCAAGTCCTATATTATCCTCATTTTACAGACAGAGAAACTGAGACAAAAGTGAGGTTAATTAGCCCAAGATCATAAGCCAGTGCGAGTGGAGGGTAGAATTCAAACCCATATTCTTAGTTGCTCTATTCCATGCCTTTCTGCTGAGTCATGGCAACTCTGTTAAATGTTGTCCTATAAATTTCCTTAACACATTTAAATTAATTTTAAGGGAAGAAAATTCTGCTGCAGTTAAAGTGACAGGCATTGGCAAAAATAAAAACATGACATTTCTGGTGTTCTCTTATATTATATTTTACAATAACAATAACCAGAATATTCACAATATCATTATAAAATAACCATTTAAGCTTCTATCTGTTGTCTTTACATTGCTAATTATTCTGATTGGCACTAAATGAATGTCTTTTCACTGTCTATCCATTTTCCTTAATGGACTTCGCATCCAGTGGAACTGATTAGGTTTAAATAAGGAAATACAAACAAATCAATAACT